ATTTCTTTCTAATTTTAGTAGAGACGGGGTCTCGCTCTTGCTCAGGCTGGTCTCGAACTCCTGAGCTCAAACAATCCGCCCGCCTCAGCCTCCCAGAGAGCTAGAATTACAGGCGTGAGCCACCGCGCCCGGCCTAGCATGTTCATTTTTTTAACCTCTGATTGCGTTGCAGAGCACAGGATGGAGTGGGCGGAGGCTATGAGAGGAACGAAACAGGTGGTGAGGCCTTGAGCTCAACAGGTGATGTGGGAAGAGGTCAGAGAAAGGGCAACAGGAGGTGACACTTAGGCAGAACTGAGGAGAGCTGGTGGCTGGGAGGCCCTGGGGCGAGAGAGGGAGGAGCCGGGTGACTGTTCAGGTTTGAGGCGTGAGTGACGGAAACGTCACCACCGGAAGAGAGAGGAGGAGAGAAGGGGGATTGGGAGGGACGAGAATGATCTCAGTGTGGGACACAAGGAGACGCAGGTGCCTGTGGGGTGCCAGGGGGGGGGTGCCCAGCAGGCAGCTTAGGGCTGATGTGACTCGGTGAGACGCGGCTGCAGCTGGGCTCAGGAGTTGACGCCCTGACACTGGCGAGACCACTTCAGGGAACTTGGAATAATCACGACCACTGTTTATTCAAGCCCTAGTGCGTGCCGGGCACGTTTGCCAAAGACATGACGTCACAGCTGCGTTGAGTGGTGCAGCTCTGACGTCAGTGTGGCCTCCCCCCTCCAATTTACAGATGAGGAAACTGAGGCTCGGGGAGGAGAAGGAACTTGCCCAGTGGGGGTGCAACTCGGAAGCTACGATTGAAACCCGTCAAAGCCTGTGCTCTTAACTCGCTGTGTCCTAAACCCCCAGCAAAAATTGGGTGGGCAATGGAACGGTGGGAAGAGTGACACATAGCAGGTGTGGCGAGATTCACACCCGGCCCGTGCGGCTGTTGCACACTGAAGCCAAACACACCAGGCACAAGCACACTTCTTACCGAAGGTGAACAAACGCTTGGCCTACGTCTCTGGGCAGCAGAAGAAAAGGAAGGTCCTAACCAGTCCCTCAGTGGCTATTGCTGCCTTAGGACTGGGACGAAAGAGCAGCGGAGTAGGAGCCGGGTGCCGGCAGGGGCTGTGGCCTGGCCCTGAGGAGCCAGCGTCTGGCTGGAGAGATGCACACGCACAGAAGGCCACAGAGATGAGGTCTCGGGAGTGAGGGAGTCGGGGTCCCCGCTGCTCGGACAGGGAGCCAGGGCAGCCAGGACCGGCAGGGTTTGGGGCTGCAGAAGGGCACAGGCACCCGGGCAGGGGAGGCCCCGGGGCACAGGCAGCAGGCAGAGGGAAGACAGCCGGGCTTAGCATCCATGCCCCGTCCCCTGCTCACGGACGGAGACCCCGGGCAATTCATCTGACCTGCAGGGGGCTCTGGCTGGCAAATCCGGGATGCGACAGCGTCCTACCTTACCGGACTGCCGGGAAGGCAGTGCTCCTCTGCAACGAGTTTGCCATCCGCCAGGCACTGGCCCAGCACGTTAATGGATTTATTATTTTCTGATTGAGTAAAATGCACAACGTAAAATTTACTGCCTTAACCATTTCTAAGTGTTCGGTTCAGTGGCATTAAGGACAATCTCATTGTGCAGCCGTCACCCCCATCCATCCCCGGAAGCCTTTTCATCTTGCAGAACCGAAACTCTGCACTCGCCCAACTCCGTTTCCCCTCCCCCGACCCCTGCCAACCACCGTCTCCCCGCCGCCTCTTTGCAGCCAAACGCTCTGCCCTGAGCTCTACCCCTTCCCCTTCCGCCTCTTTGATTTTCGACTCTCTGCACCTTGTGTAAGTGGAATCATAACTCGTCCTTTTGCGACTGGCTTACTTCACTCGGCATGATGTCTTCAAGGCCCGTGCCTGCTGTAGCAGGTGTTGCGTTCATTCCTCTTAAGGCTAAACGATAGTCCGTTGTGTGTATGTACGTCTGCCATGTTTTATTTGTCTCCAGTTGGTGAATACTGGAGTCTCTTCTGCCTGTGGCTGCTGTGAACAGTGCCGCGGTGAACACGGGTACGGGTATCTCTTTGAGATGCCGATTTCAGTTCTTTTGGGGTTTGCGGCCAGAAGTGGAATTACTGGATCACACGGTAATTCTATGTCTAATTTTCGGGGATCCTTCACACCACTTTCCACGGCCGCTGTGCCCTTTTACATTCCCATCAACTGCGCAAGGGTTCCAGCATCTCCTCCAGATCCTTGTCCACACTTGTCATTTTCCCGTTTTGTCGCCATCCTGATGGGTGTGGAGTGAGTGGCATCTGGTTGTGGTTGTGATTTGCATTTACCTGATGATCAGCGGTGCTGGGCATCCTCTCGTGGGCTTGCTGGCCGTCGTGTATCTTCTTTGGGGAAATGTCTGTTCAAATCCTGGGCCCAGTTTTTAATGAGGTTGGATTTTGTTGCTGTTGTTGAGTCGTAGGAGTTCTTTATATATTCTAGACCTTAGCCCTTTATCAGACATGTGATTTGCAAATATTTTCTCCCATTCTGTGAATTGCCTTTTCACTCTGTTGATTGTGTCCTTTGAGGCTCAGAATTTTTAAATTTTGACACAGTTCAATGTGTCTACTTTTTCTTTTGTTTCCCGTACTTTCGATGCCAAAAGATTTATTTTTTTAAACTCTGTGCCCTCACTGTGAAGTGGGCTTTATTGTTGCTATTTTACAAAAAAAGAAACTAGCTTAGAAGCTGAAGTAACTTGTCTAGGTGTACACACAACGCAAGTCCGTTCGACCCACACTCCTCTAAAGGGGCAACGGCCGTGAGGCACAGACAGTGTTAACGGCTGTGGTGACGGCTGCCGCGTTGTTGGTGGTGGCAACGCCGCCAGGGCAGCACAGCTGAGCGTGGAAGAGCGCGCAGAGCTAAGCTCCGGAGCGGTAACTTTGCCTGGCGTTTGCAGCAAGTAGTGGGGAGAAGGTTGGAGAGTTGAGAGAAGCCACCTTGGGAATTCCTTTATTGATAGACTTTGGACCTTATGGAGAAGACACTGGGTAGCCATTGGTGTTCCAGGTGTTTCTGGAAGTAGAATTTTCTAGCTGTTTTCAGCGTGGTTTGGAAGGAAAGAAACTAGAATCCCAGGGCCCGGCGTGGGGGCTGGACCAGGCCGGGGAGCCTGATGCACGCGTGTCCGCTGTTTGTTTGAGGAGCTGACTGACGTTTTCTAGGTCTCTGAACAGCAACTCAAAGAAGCCGTGGCCCAGGCTGTGGAGAACATCAGGTTTGGAAAGGAGAGGCATCAGTGGAGTCTGGAAGGTAAGAAAAATGGTAACTTTGACTTGAAGTATCTTTGCCTTCCCAGGAAGCGTAGGATGTAGCCATTGGCTCACTTTCCACCCGAGGAACGGTGGGGACGGTCATCATGGACACACGGGCTACGTAGACAAAGGTTGAAACCAGCAGCCACCAGCTAATGTGGCTCACGTTTTTGCTTTGTTTTGAAGACACAAGATTTTTAAAAGCATCTGAATTTGAATTGTTAGCGTGGAAGGTGCTCTCCCCATGGTGCCCACCACTGCCCTCCATCTGATACCAGTTGCCATTCACACATCGCGCGTGCTGGGCTTTGGGCTTGCAGCCCCTAGTCTGGGCATGTGGCATCTGACACGTATTGGGTTCTTGCGATGTCAGACGCTGCCGGCGCATGCGCTGTTTCACATCTACTTTTGATGCACCTTTCATAGGAAAGAGGGAGGCCCCCGGGGCTCAAAGCCACGCCGCTAGTGCACAGAGGGTCTGGGATGGGAACCCCCTGGCTTGACTCCCGGGTCCAGCCCTGGGCACAGCCGAGCCATCGCGGAACATCCACATGACAGAATGACGTGCAATCGTTAGCGGTGACGCTGACAAGGAGTTTAAATGACCTGGAAAAGGTCTGGAGGAAAGAACAGAACGTGGAGTTTTATTCAGCTTGGTCGACTTTCTCCCACGCATCATGCACACACGCTCGGGAACACATGACAGAGAAAGTCCCCACAGTCTGACGGTAGCCGTCTCTGGCTGACGGGACCACAGGCGGATTTTCACTTTCACTCCTTGCCTCCTGCGGCTGAGTTTTCTCTAAGGAGGATGCGTTTCTCTCTGACCAGGAAAAAGCAAAAGAAAACGTTTTCTTGAAAGAGTGTGAATTGCGAGCTTGGGAGGCCTGGGTTCTTCCCTAAGGTCTAAGGTGCCTGTCAGGGGACCCCTGGCTCTCCCGGCCTATCGAGAATGAGCTGGAATTCGAGCAAGAGACTGGGCCTCAAGCTACTCCCACTCCCCAGAGCTGGATTTCAGGAACGGGACGTCTTGACAGCTTTCCAGCGGAGAGAAGGGTCTCCGGAGCGTGGGTGGGGGCCCAGAGCTGGAAGCTCCGGCAGGGAGCCTGGAAGGGCTGCAGGGGAGGGAAAGAGAAGGAGGGGCTCTGGCTAAGGAATTGGCTTCTGCCCTTCCTCACCCTCAGCTGGACAAACCTTTTGGTGTAAGGTTCAACGTGCCTTCCGAGGTCGTCTCTCTCTTTGTTATGGAGCCTCAAAGCCAGCCTGGCAACCCCGGAATCACCTATTTCTCAGATGCAGACGGGGAGTGTTGCGGGAGGGGTCCCCATTTGGCTGCTGTGCTTATTAGGAAGTGTCCTGGGAGCCAACCCCTGCAGGAGGGAGGGGCGGCAGCGGGGCAGGGGCAGGGGGAGGAGAGGGGCTGGGCTGCACACCCAGAGCTCCCTGCGGCCAAGCCCTGGAGCGCCGCCCACCCGGAGTTGGCAGAAATGGCTGGGACTCTAGCCCGTCTCTGTCAGTCCTGCAGATGGGCTGCCCTTGGGCGCGCTGCGGCATCCTGGGAAGGGCCAACGGCTGAAAGCAGCAGCCGCCAGCGCTCCCCACAGCCGGGCTCTTCCTCGATGGGGGATCTGGGTGGCACAGCTCCGTACCTGTCCCACGCGGGCTCAGAAAGGTTGGGTGATTTCCCAGCCCCAGGTCGGGATAGCCACGCCAGACCCAGAGCAGCCCCAGACGGGAAGCGGACGGCGGCGTGCCGCGTGCCGCCTGCAGCGGTCTGGGCAAGGCCACGGCGTCTTTGTCCTCCACGCTCGGCACTGGAGGTTCACGCGTGCTCCCCACGCAGGTGCCAAGAGGCTGGAGAGCAGCTGGCACGGGCGGCCCACCTCGGAGAAGGAGCGAGAGAAGAACTCGGCGCCCCCACATCGCAGAGCCCAGAAGATCATGGTCCGCTCCAGCAGTGACAGCAGCTACGTGTCCGGGTCCCCGGGGGGGAGTCCCAGCAGTGGCGGCGCTGAGCCGCGGCCCTCTGACCTGGCAGCTGGCAGGCACGGCCCCAGCCCGCCCCCGGGGCGGGAGCCAGGGCTGCTTCCCTCCAGGCCGCCCCAGGAGAGCCCACCCCTGCCCGAGAGCCGGGACGGCCACCCGCCGCTGAGACTGAAGAAATCCTTCGAGATTTTGGTGAGGAAGCCCACATCCTCCAAGCCCAAGCCTCCGCCCAGAAAATACTTTAAAAGTGACAGTGACCCTCAGAAGAGTCTGGAAGAGAGAGGGAACTCTCTATGCCCTTCTGGGCACAGCCCGCCCACCTGCGGCCAGGTAAGAGGAGCGTCCGCGTGTGGAGCGTTCTCATGCGCCGCACGCCGCGGTCCTTGGGCATCGCGGCAGCGCGAGCACGGGCAGAGCGAAGGTTCTCCTGTCCCGCTGCAGGGACGCTGACGCTTAGGACTCAGCTGAGGACTGTGGAAAGGCAGCTTTGAAGGTTGGCCTCCGGGTTCCCATCCGTAACACGCTGGGATCGAAGGTTCCCTTTGGTCGTTTTTCACACTCAGCCTGGTGGAAAAACACCGGCGCTCGCGGGGGCCCGTGTGCGCGGGGAACGGCGGTCTCTGCGCAGGGACCTCCGGCGCTCTGCTCGCGGGAGGACAGTTGCCTAAATAACTAAAAGGGGACGAGAGCCAGTCACTCTGTCCCTTCAGGGGGTGGAGTGACGTGATCGTGAGCAATGGCTGCTGTTTCTGTCAGCTGTGCCTCCCGCTTCCTTAAACCCGACCTGTCTGAGCCTAAACGTGGCCACTGACGGGAAGCACCTCACGGAACCGAGGCGCAGCAGCGCTCCTCGCCGTGGCTGTTTCCTCCATCGCCCCAGACACCCCGCCCCCGCAGAGGGCCAGGCAGCTGCCTCAGCCCGGGTGCTGTGCTAAGTGCTTCTGTGCACGTGGTCTCTCTCCCTCCTGACGACACTGATGGAGGGGGCCAGTTACTCCAGGAGGGAGCTGAGACACCTGCCCAGGTTCACGGCGCTGGGGGTACACGGGTTCCCACTGTCCACCGCCTTCCCCGGGCAGGGCGTGGGGCCTCTGGAAATCCCTAGAACCGTCTGTAACCAGGTCCACAAAGGTCAGCAGGGGTAACAGACACAAGAGGCTGGGAGGGAGGTGCTGAGTAGGAGGAGAAAGTGAGGGGGAGGAAGCCAGGTTACGAAAAAGGAAGTGTAGCTGCGGGGAGCTGGCAGGACGTGGCTGTCCGGGCAGGTCTGTCCCCCAACCTCCTCTTTTGAGCAAATGTTTTGTTTTCCTTTGGGTCTGGGGCCCAGGAACCCAGACGCACATCAGACACTGAAGGAGGACCTGGAGGGGGTCGGGGGGCCAGGCCGGGACTGTCCCCAGGGCAGGGCGCTGTCTCAGGAGCAGCCCTCCTGCCTCGTGCCTCAGGGGCCGTGCCACGGGGACAGTGGCAGTTCCGTAGCTGCTCTCCTCCGTCCCCCGGGCTTTGTCCCCTCCCACCACCTCCGCACAGGCACAACTGACAGCACATTGCTCTGGGCCCTGGGGCAGGTGTAGCTGCGGCAGCGCCAGCCCCTCCGCATCCCAGCCTCTCGCTCCCATCACGGGAGCCAGGGTCTCCACGCATGTCTACAGCGTGAGCGTGTGTTCTGGACACAGGTTGTTGGGAGTTGGGCGAGCTCCAGGTGTCTGGGAGGTGCCGGACGCGCCGTGGAGGAAAGGACCCTCCTCACGAGGGCCAATGAGCTTCGCGTCAAAGGCAGCTCCGTGCCCGCTCTCAATTCCTGGTCGAAGCGTGTCTTGCCTTCTCGTGGCTGGAGCTACCATTTTGACACGGTCCCGCTTCCTGTTTACACCACAGGAAGCCAGAGAGCTGCTGCCACTGCTGTCGCCACAGGAAGACACAGCGGGGACAGCCCCTCACGCCGCTGCAGGCTGCCCAGGACCGGTCAGCCCACAGACCGCGTCCTCCACGGAGGGCGAGCCAGCGCGCAGAAGAGCCAGCCCGGGTGAGCTTCGGTCGAGGTCTTCGGGAGGAAGGGCCTCCCGGAGAAAGGTCCCGGGATGAGGTGGGAGTGTGGGCTGGCCTGGGGGCTGCGTATCGACCCGGCTGCTGGTCCCCGCCGGGAAGGTGGCCAAGAAGGAGTCCCGGGCGCAGGGCACAGGACTGGTCATGTGCTGTCTGGGGCAGGAGCCTCCTGGCTGGCTTGTGGTGTGGCCGTGGTGGCCGGTCCAGAAGGCCAGCTGGAGAACAGCCCCAGGAAGAGGTCCCAAGACACCCTACCCAGCCGTCCCGTCAGCCGCCCCTAGGGTGCCAGCATTCTGGCATGCTGCGTTCAGCATTTCCAGGCTGAGAACGCAGGGTCACAAAAGCATGGATAGCCTTTTGTTGGGGGTCACCACCTCCATGAGGTGACAGCAAGGGTGTGTCCACATGGCGTAGCTGGCAGTGCTGAGACAGGACTGGAATATTTGGTGGCTTGCTAGACAGAGCATAAGGTTTGGGGTCAGGAAATTGGGGGCCTGCCCACCATTAGCCATGATTCGGGGCACTTTGCTTTCCTGAGACTCGATCCACTCGTCAGCATGGTGCGGAGGGTCGCGCAGAACCCCAGCGTATGACTCATCAGCAAGGCGCACCGAGCGCTGGCTCCGGGAGACCCGGTGCGAGGTGCAGGGAGGGAGAGAAGGGGACGAGATGGCCCAGGTCCTGCCTCCAGGGAGCCCCTAATGGTGGCAGAGAAGTAAACAGGTCGGCTGCAGACCGTGTGCGTGTCTGAGAAGCTCGGCAGACCTAGCGCACCTCACCCAGAGCAGGTGCCTGCCAGGGAGGCGCCCCCACCGCGCTCACCGGTCCCTCAGGCAACTTCGCTGCGGAACGCACCTGCAAGCGCCTCGGCGTTTCGGTGGCGGGAGCCCCTGAGCCCAGTCTGCAAAGGGCTTGGCCGGGCACCTCTGCCCGCTGACTCACAGCAGCCCTTGCAGCCGAGCGGTTCACAGGTGCGGACAGAGGAGGAGAGGGCAGCACGCCCTGGCCAGCGCCCTGCAGTCAGCAGTAGCCGCCCGGGCCTTCTGGAAGGGGCTGGGGCGGGGCTTGTCTTTGATATCACAACGGCCTGAGGCTCCACACGGAGCGGACGTTCACAGCAGGACAGCAGGGATCCCTGCGGTAAACTGGGTGGCATCCCGGAGGCCGGCACGCCCCAGAGCACACAGGCCAGCCTCTCTCTGTCCCCGGGGAGGAGTCAGAGGGACAGTCGCTCCTCCTCTCGCAGGGGACTGCGGGTTCGGTGCCGGCTTCTGAGAAAGGCCTGCGCGTGCCGCCCCCTGTGGGGGGGCTGGACCTGGCGGGGCTGCCGGAGGTCCCGCGGACACAGGCAGGCCGCACGCTGGAGTCCCAGCACCCAGGCTGCCTCCCGGGTGTATTCCATCAGCGCCCGGCGGGGGCGTCAGTGTTTTCTAAGGCCTCCCAGATTCCAGCATGTGGCCAAGGTTGAGAACCACGGTCACGGAACTTCTTTCCACCTGGAGACTTTTCATCAGCTCTTTCGGGAGGGAAAACCCTGCTTTGCTGAGCAGGGGAGCAAACTCCACGACTTCCGGGGCAGGCAGATGAGTAAACGTGAAATCTGGACCCCGTGAGAGGGAGCGAGGAGGAGCGTGAAGGGTGGTGGGAAGTGGGGCCCACCTGGGCGGTGCACGCTCACCTTGATTTTCAGCGACGTCGCTGGGCCGAGCCAAACACGGCTGCCAATCCTGACCTTTGTCTCAGAACTTTAAAACATGAGAGAATTGCTTTGACTTTTACGGTTCTGATGAGTTATCTGGCAGGCTCCTTAGTGCAGTGAAATTGCCACGAACCTGGGGGGCTGGGAGACATGGGGTCTCACCCTGGCTCTCGCGTCTGGTAGCCTCTCACCTTCTTGGACTGTAAGACGCCAGAGATTGGGCAAGGTATTCTGACAGCCCTCCCAGCACTAAGACACGGGGTGCTGTGACGTTAACCCCCGCTTCTGGTTCTTCTGTCCTGCCTGCTGGCACCTCGGTCAAGTATAGTACTGAGAGGTCACCCCTCTGGGTGTCCCCCACTTCTGCTACTCTCCTCCTCTGGAACCTTCTTGCTGCTCAGCGTTGACACTAGACTTCAGGATGGAAAACCACAGTAAGATGTAACGTGCAGCTTTGGCCTTGTTTCTGTTCTCTAGGGACCCAAACGTCCCCACTGAAACACCCGCTGCTCAAGAGGCAGGCTCGGATGGACTGTAGCTTTGACACCACAGCCGAAGACCCCTGGATTAGAATTTCCGACTGCATCAAAAACTTATTTAGTCCCATGATGAGCGACAACCATGGCCACGTGCCGCTACAGCCCAGCGTCAGCCTGGGCGAAGCAGATGGGACGCGGGGCCACCCGGATGGGACCCCGCTGAAGCTCGACGCGGCCAACGGAGCTCCCAAAGTCTACAAGTCGGCCGACAGCGGCGCTGGGAAGAAGGGTCCTCCCGTGGCCCCCAAGCCAGCCTGGTTTCGTCAAAGCCTGAAGGGTTTGAGGAGTCGTGCTCCAGACCCGAGAAGGCTGCCCGAGGCGGCCCCGTCCACCCAGCCGACACCTGCTCCCAGGGAGCCGCCAGGGCCGCGCGCGCCGGCCTGCTCCTCCATCAAGCAGAGAATCAGTTCCTTCGAAACCTTCGGCTCCTCTCAGCTGCCTGACAAAGGAGCCCAGAGACGGAGCCTCCAGCCCTCGGCCGGAGATGCAGCGAAGGCTCCCAGCGGGCAGGAGGGAGGGCGGTTTTCTCGCTTCTTGGGGCGGGGGGCTCCCCCGACTCCTGAGCGCCAGCAGCCGGAGCGAGAGCCCCTGCCCCGGGGGTCCCCTGCAGCCTCGGAGGCCGGAGACCCGGGTGTGCCTGAGTCCCCTCCCCCAGGCCGGCAGCCCAGCCAGAAAGTCCTCCCCTCGGACCCGGACCCGGACCCTCTCTTGAGGCTGCTGTCGGCACAGCTGGAGGACGCTCGAGCCCCCGTCCTCAAGATGCCCAGCCAGCGCGCGCGGAGCTTCCCCCTGACCAGGTCCCATTCCTGCGAGACGCGGCCGCTGGACGAGAAGACCAGCAAACTCTACTCCATCAGCAGCCGAGTGTCATCCGCCGTCATGAAATCCTTGCTGTGCCTTCCCGCCTCAGTCTCCTGTGGCCAGTCGCCCTGCGGCCCCAAGGAAGGGCTGCCCCCAACGCCGCCGTCCCACGAAGACCCCGCTGCAAACGGTTCTGCTGAAGCCCCGGCCTCGGACACGGGGTTCTCGCTCAAGTGAGTGTCTATGCCTGGTGTTTCTACGCTTCTCACCTTTCTTTGCTTTATAATTCTATATATCATGTACAATTTCTCAGATGCATTGGTTAAAGCGTTGTTCCTCCTCTTTTGCGTGTGTGCCCGTGTCTGCTGAGTGTGGTGCATGCGTGTGTGTGTCTGTAGATGTTATACCTCTGCCTTCTATGTATTTTTTTTAAGAGACAGGGTCTTGCTTTGTCACCCAGGCTGGAGCGCAGTGGCGCGATCATAGCTCCCTGCAGCCTCCAACTCCTGGACTCAAGCGATCGTCCTGCCTCAGCCTCCTGAGTAGCTGGGACTACAGGGCTGGTGCCATCACACCCAGCTACTTTTTAAAACTTTTTGTAGAGACAGAGTCTTGCTATGTTGTCCAGGCTGGTCTTGAACTCCTGGCCTTAAGTGATCCTTCCGCCTTGGCCTCTCTGCCTTCTGTATTAAGGAGGAGTTTTCACAACATCTGGTCTCAGGAGGGGCGGGAGGTGGGGATGGGACTGGCCCCTGGGGAGTTACCCCGGGGATTTGGAAGGCTGACGGTACACATCTGAGATGTTTCCCTGTTACTCAGAAAGGCCAGAGCGACAGGAGATTTTCCCCTGGGAATTCTCACTGCTCCCCAGAGGAATTCACCCGTACTCTGCATGCGGGCTCGGCCCCAGGGCGGGGAGTCGTGGTGCCCGGTCCTAGTCCCAGCTCAGGCGCGCACGCTAACTGGCAGCAGGCTCCTTCCAGTTCACAGTGTCCTCTCAGCTGACACTAGAGGTGGACGAGCCCTGCTTTGCGGAACTGGGCTGGCGGAGGTGCCCCAGGGCTTCTGCTGGAGGGTGGGGCTTGGTGTCCCTCTTTAATCGGAGCACCTGTGCATTGATGCACTTCCATATTGTTCTGCTGCTGTCGGGGGATGCCGGCCCCCCTCACCGACGTGTTGCGTCGGATACCAGAACGCACACAGGTGCTTGGCGTCGAGGCCGGAGTGCAGCGGTGATGCGACAGGATCAGCCTTTGCTGCCGCTGTCATTCACGCTGTGCGTGGTTTCTCCCCGGAAAGCCTGTCCGAGCTGAGGGAGTACACCGAGGGTCTCGCTGAGCCCAAGGAAGCCGACGGCGGGGACCCCTGCCCTCCGCAGCCTGGCCAGTCGGTCATCTCCATGCTGAGCTCCGAGGAGCTAAAAAAACTTATCGAGGAGGTGAAGGTTCTGGACGAGGCGACGTTGAAGGTAGGTTTCCTCCGTGAGCGCGTGCAGCCAGCGAGGGCTCACTGCGGCTGTGGGGCCACTCGGCACGGCCCAGGGGGAGCGGCGCGAGCAGCCGGTGCTCTCGGCGCCTTGAGAATGCAGCTGCCGCCAGACCCGGGGTCTGTCCCATGGTGGTGGGACGCTCAAACCTTGGCCACAGGAAGACTTTTCTTAAAGGGGCTTTTTAGCATTTGGAGCACTCTCGGTACACCGACTTCCTGCACCTTTCTGCCGTCTGTAAATAGGAAAGGTGGGGCCCAAGGCCGCAGAGCCCAGGTTTTCTGTCTCCAAGTATAAGTTTGGTGCCGTTTCCACGTCCCAGGGCCCGCCGGCCTGGCGTGAGTCTCCGCTGGGCGCTGCGGGGGAGTGCGCCGCCCGTTGCAGGCGTTGCGGGGGACGAGAGCTCTCGCCCTGGGCCTTGCGTGATTTCCGCTGCACACCTAGAGGCCACTGACCCCAGGGGGCCCCGAGCTGCAGTCCAGTCATTCTGAAAGTCTCACTTCCCCTGCGCTGTCTGAGCACGACCGGAGGCGTGTGAGCGAAGTGTTTGAACGCGTTTTCTTCCGCAGCAACTAGACAGCATCCACGTCACCATCCTGCACAAGGAGGAAGGTGCTGGCCTCGGGTTCAGCCTGGCGGGAGGAGCGGACCTGGAAAACAAAGTGATCACGGTGAGTGGCTGAGTGGGCACGTCCCAGCCAGCAGCAATGGCTCCCGGGGACACCTGCCGGGAGGGGCCGGTGCTGGCAGGTGGTTGGGACAGGATCTCAAAGGACAGCCACCAGGCCCATCCTTTCCAAGGAGCAGAGGGTGGTCACCTATGTGACCCCATATTCAGCTCATCATGACCCTCAACACACTGACTGCCACGTGAGTTGTATTTAACTCAGGCTGGTTTTGCCCCCAGGGCCTCGTGAAGCAAAACCCTGCAGTTGGTTTGTGAAAATCTTACTTGTTGGTGTTCTTATCGTTACAATTGATATTGACAATTAAAGTCTAAAAACGTGGATTGCATTGCATATAACTCACCCACAGAAAACAATAAAAATAACACATTAGAAAGGATCATTTTATTTTAATAAAACATCATGGCCCTGGGGGAAAAATGTTTTTTTCTAGTGTGGCCGTCCATGTGTTAATGAAGATCTCTGCATACCTAAAACAACTTTAATATATCAAAAGAAACCGGAATCATTTGCGGAGCTTTAAAAAAATTAGAGCTCTCCCAGCTTCACACCAGAACTTTGGAATCTGAATTCTTTTTGAGGTTGAAGCCCTAATGCTTGCGTTTTTTAAGGTGCTAGGGGGATATTTAAAAAATTCAAACCAAATTTTATTCAACGTCATGTCTGTTCCTTTGGAGATACAGAGAGGTAGTCTGTTGGTCACTAAGATGTAGACGAGAGCGATTCGTGAGCACAGGGACAGCTTTGCAAGGCTGGACCCGCGGAACTGACGCCGGCGGTGCCGTGCCGCGCAGCACAGCTTGCAGGGGGGCGTGGGCAGGCAGCGCCCTGGCAAGGAGGTCGCTTTCCTGGGTCTGCTGCCTTGCTCTGGGAGAAGGTCACCCTGGACGACTGAGGAGCTGCCCTAAAGGCTGGCTGAGCCCACGCTGGAGAGAAGAAGCAGTCACTGAACCTGTTCACAGACCGCTAGCCGCAGTGCGCACCGGGGGCTTCTGCGCCCACGCTCCGGCCCTGTGCACTCAGCGCCACCCCGGGCGGGGCCGGTGGGGAGGGCAGCAGACCTGAGTCGGGGGCACCTTCTCCTGTGGGCCCCTTACTCTGGCTCAGCCAGTCTGATCAGCGCTGGGTGTGCCCACAGGTCACCTGTCCCTGACCAGATGGTTCCTGGTCCTCCCGGCCGGGTGGAGCTGCGTGGCACGGCTGCTCCGTTCCCCCAGGCTGAGTGTGTTGTTGTCACCACGTCTGTGCTGTCTCAGTGCGTCCTTTGTGTGGGCTGTGCTGGGCTCATCCGAATTGCCTTGCCCCGCTGAAAACAAATCCTCCAGTTCCGAGTGTCGACCGCCAAGCATGCCACGCCCCCTGCAGTGGTAACTTGGCACAATCCCTGTCAGTCACTTCAGAGTCACCCGTGTGTCAGCAGCGACTTCCCTGATTTCTTTCTGAGTTCCCTACCACAGCAAAAGCACCTAAAACCAGTGAAGCATCTATTTCTGTCACTGAACACATAGCTGGGTATTAAACAATGTTCCTAACGGTGGTAGTTTGCTTTCTACCTGAGCAGAAGGAAAGAGAGCTTACCCGTGGGGACAGCACTGGGGTCTCTCTCTGCCCTGAGCAGCCAGTTCTCCCCACGCATCTGGCCGGCCACCCCCGCGACCCTGTCCCCACTCAGCCACCAGCACAAAGCAGGACGTGCGGGCCGAGCACATGCACAGAAACTTCCTCTTTCTTCTTCTGCGTCTGAGCGTTTCTCGCCCGTTCCAGGTTCATGAAAAAGGAACTGATGTGGGGGCCAAGTGGGCACTCACGGAGCCGCCGTCAAAGTTCACTTCCGCACACCTTGGGTTGGAAAACTGGTAGCATTTAGGCTTCTTTTACAGAGGAGGGCCTGGGGTTCTGAAAGGAGGTTCTGCTTCATGCTTGGGTCTCACAGCCTGGGCAGTCTAACCACCTCTGACCACACTGAATTTTTGTAACACCAAAACAATTTAGAGAAACAAAGAGCCTTGTTCACATCATAAAAGCAAAACAACATGTAGCACGTTTTAGTGTTTGCCCATGCATGCTTTTATTCAATCCTCTTAATTATAATTTACTCCATTAAAGAGGCTGAAGCAAAGAGATCTTTGCTTCAAAGATCTTTGAACCAAGAGATCTTTTGTTTGTTTTGATCCCACATATCTTGCAGAAAAGGGACCAGGGAGGAGCTTTAAAATGTCTAGACTGTGGCTGGGCACAGTGGCTCACATCTGTAGTCCCAGCTACTCAGGAGGCCCAGGTGGGAGGATCACTTGAGCCCAGGAGTTCAAGACCAGCTTGGGAAACATAGACCCCATCTCTACAAAATATTTTAAAAATTAGTCAGGTGTGGTGGCACACCTGTAGTCCCAGCTACCTGGGAGGCTGAGGCAGGAGGATGGCTTGAGCCTAGAAGTTTGAGGCTGCTGTGAGCTATGATGACACCACTGCACCCCAGCCTGGGCGACAGAGTGGGGCCCTGTCTCTAAATAAAATAAAAATCAAAAAATGATCAAAATTTCTAGACTGCCCAGGATAGCATTTCTCAAAATATGTTCTGCAGAAAAGGGGACCTGAGAATCTCTCTATGAGAAAAGAATCCTCTGTGGAAACTCCTGGGGAATCTCTGTATTAATACCCCCATTCTCAGAGCGCCGCCGTGCAAATTCGTATGGCAGAGTCTCTGATGACTTTTTTACAAAGTAGACATTTTCAGAGTTTTTGTTTGACCCGGTATTCCCCACGTTTCTCTGATCTTGGAAACCTTTTCTTACGTAACACCTCCTGACGTGCCACAGAACCAGTCAGGGCTTCCAGAAAACTACAGTGAGGAAAGCCAGGCTCTGACCGGGATGGCGGGACACAGCCCGGGCGTGGTGTTGGAGGACGTGGGGCTTGCTGGGCATCACTGGGGGTGGCCTCTGCATCAGGAAGAGACGGAGGGAATCTCGCCCCTGTGCCCGCAGCTCCGAGCTAGGACACAGTTGGTTTCCATTTTCTTTGGCCTGGAAATCCTCAGGGTGGACTGGTCAGGTCCCCCCCAGCAGGAGTGTGATGTCACGTGGGTGATTTCTGGGTCCTGACTCCCCTTGCTCTGCCCAGGTTCACCGGGTGTTTCCCAACGGCTTGGCCTCGCAGGAAGGGACCATCCAGAAGGGCAGCGAGGTGCTTTCCATCAACGGCAAGTCCCTCAAGGGGACCACGCACAACGACGCCCTGGCCATCCTCCGGCAAGCTCGAGACCCGAGGCAAGCGGTGATCGTCACGAGGAAGCTGGCTGCGGAGGCCACGCCTGACCTGAGCTCCTCCGGCGACTCTGCGGCCTTGGCCTCCGCGGCCAGTGACGTGGACGTGTCTGTAGACTCTAGTAAGTTCTCCCAGCTCAGCGGAGGCCCCATGGGCCACATCACCTTTGGCCACACGGGGCCAGCCCTGGTGGGCTGCTCAGTCGTTTGTGCCCAAGAGCGTGCGGCCTGCCTGGCCCGCCGCCCGCGGTGTGTCTGTGTTCATCCGCGCAGGCGCACAGGCACGGCAGGCGGCAGCCACCCGGCTTGCTCGAGGCCCCGGCATCTGTGCTCTGGGGCCGGGGGGCTCCCTAACTGACCCCTGTGTTTCCCAGCAGAGGCCACGGTCTGCACGGTGACCCTGGAGAAGACCTCTGCAGGGCTGGGCTTCAGCCTGGAAGGAGGGAAGGGCTCCCTGCTCGGAGACAAGCCCCTCACCGTGAACAGGATTTTCAAAGGTGCGGCGTGCGTCTGCTCTGCGCTCTCTCTGGCCGTGGCCCCAGCGGCTGCTGAGCACTTTCCAGGCCATGTTGGTTTCTCACAGCCCCGTGTCCTCTTGCGTGGCACGCTGGGCCTTTTAGAGTTCAGTTCTGCCCTTTCTACCTTTTCTCCTCTGCTCAGACATCCCCCCTCCCCTCCCCACCTAATCCCTCTGTGTCACCAGGTCCTCCTTTTTTTTTTTTAAGACAGTCTCGCTCTGTTGCCCTGGCTAGAGTGCCGGGGGGTCAGCCTAGCTCACAGCAACCTCAAACTCCTGGGCTCAAGCGATCCTCCTGCCTCAGCCTCCCCAGGAGCTGGGACTACAGGCATGCACCACCATGCCTGGCTAATTTTTTCTATTTTTAGTAGAGACGGGGTCTTGCTCTTGCTTGGGCTGGTCTCGAACTCCTGACCTGAAGGGATCCTCCCGCTTCGGCCTTCCAAAGTGCTAGGATGACAGGCGTGAGCCACCACGCCCGGCCCACTGGGTCCTCTTGAGTGACTGAGCCTGGGCTTGGTTCAAGTTGGCAGGGCCGGGACTGGGCCGAGGCAGTGAGGCACTGGCCTGGGGTGCAAAATTTAAGGGGTGCCAAGGTGCTCAGTTATCCAGAACAATACTATTTCAATGCAGTATCTTAAAAAAATCCAAATTAATTTTAAGAGCCATGGTGAACAAAATGTCAGAGTTGAAATAAAGGCAGCGTCTTTGCCCTGCACGGCTCAGCCTCCCTCGCCCTGCCCTAGTCCTGCACCTGTCAGCTCCTGCCAGTGTGTAAAATTTGATGTTCTGTTCATCGGGGATGGGGGTACGGCCAATGTGCCGTGGGGGTCACTTGGATTTTTCTGTGAAAATCACAAACGGCTGTAGCTACCAGGCACAACCCCCCTGACTCTCTGCTGCTCCTCAGACCGGAAGCCCTCCAGGCACAGGGCAAGGGGCTGTGGAGAGAGGGCGCAGGACGGGGGTCCCGCGTCTGGGCTCCAGTCCCGGCTGTGTCTCTAACGCTCTAACGTGCTGAGTGACCATTCCCTTCCGGGCCTGGGTGTGTCCAGGACTCTTGGTACCGAGGCCCAAAGGGCCTCCCAGCCCTGCGCCCTGCCCCGCGTGAGCTCCCGTTGCCGACTGGTTTTGTTCGAGGAAGTTCTGCTGCAGCTGCGGAAACCCAGAGGGTAGCCCGAGGCTTGGCAGCAGCTCCCCCGGAACCCAGGCTAACTCCAGTTCTGGGAATGATATTTCTAACTTCTGAAGGTTGATTCGGAATGAGCAGGGGCTTCCAAGTCAAGAGACCTGATTCTAGTGTTAGTTCTGCTACTCATGGGAGCATGACCTTGGGCAAGGTCACTCTGGTAAAGTCACTCCTGGGCCCATCAGCTTCGTGGGTGGGCCAACAAGCTGCAGGGCGGTGTGGTACCGAGAGATGTGGGTGCTGAAGCCGGGAAGACTGGGTTGCGACCCAGGGGATCCTGTTGATAATAGTAGATAACCTCACGGGATCATTGCCACAAATGCAAAACAGCGCGATGCTGCTGCAGTAGTTGCCCAACACACTTTAGCTACGTCTTCGTTATCCTCACTCCCTTCTACTCTGACTCAGTATTTGTGAAGACCATCTGTCAAAGGGATGAGGAATTTTCTTTCAATGTAATAGTAAAATAGCACTGTTTCCACATGCAGCTTTGCAAGGGGGAGAGCCGGACAGGATAATTTCCTTTTTACATCAACACAGAGGCCTTCTCCGGGCCATGCAAAGCCAAAATCCCTGTGAAGATTTTCACGCAGATGTCACAGGCACCCTTCCCACAGCACCCAGCGCTGATGTCCTGGCCAGACAGGAAGACCAAATGTGCAGGTGGTGGGATGTTGGGTCAGTGTCCAAGAGGGGAGGACTCAGTTCCCTGGAGTCCTCTGTGAACTGTTGCCATCTCGCCAGGCAGGCCGTGGCGCAGAGCAGCCGGATGTCTAGGGACGGCATGGGCTCTACCTCTCCGAGGGCCACGGTGGGTTGGAGCCGGTGCCACAAACTCGGAGTCACGATGTTATGAGCTGCCTTGTTTTAAAACCACCAACAGGCCAGCTCCCAAGGGGCGAGCACCCCGTTCTCTTTCAGGCTGTCCCGGCTCCTTGGAGACTAAGGATAGAAAGTAACGTTCCTTGTTCCTCCATCACCATGGAGACCGTTACCATCCTCTCCCCCATTTCAGGAGCAGCCTCGGAACAGAATGAGACGGTCCAGCCAGGAGACGAAATCTTGCACGTGGCTGGCACTGCCACGCAGGGCCTCACCCGGTTCGAAGCCTGGAACATCATCAAGGGATTGCCCGATGGGCCCGTCACGCTCGTCATCAGGAGGACGGGCCTCCAGTCCAAGGGGACCACAGCCGCTGGAGACCCCTAGGCAGGACACCAGGCTGAAGCCAGAGCCGACAGCACGCGGCTCCCGTAACTGCGGATTCTCAGGGTCTCTGCCCGCCCCACCCGGAGGGGGAAGCACAGGGCGCTTTCCCGTGGCTGCTGCCCAGGCCTAGGGCTTCTGGGACACCACCCAGCAAGAGGGTTGTCCCAAAAGTAAGGGCAGAGTCACACTGGGGTCTCTGACACAAACTGTAGACTGTGTATAGAGAGAGCTTGATGAAAACATTGTGGTGCCATTAATAAAATGGATGTATCACAATTTGATATAAAGCCCATGTCCTGCTTTGCAAAATGCTCCTAACCGTGCAACATTTCACCCTCAAACTATGACATCTGTTTGTTTTTCTCATGAATCTGCCAGGTGGGCAGAGTTTGGAAGGAGCGGCTCATCTCCGCCCCATGTGGCGTCAGCTGCGGTCACGCAAAGGCTGGGACCGCCAAGGTTCACCGCTCGTACGTCTGGTAGTGGATGTGGCTGCCGGCGGGCAGCTGGCCTGGGGCTGCTGGCTGAGTGCTTACAGGCACCGCTCCCTGTGGCCCAGGCTTCCGCACGGCGTGGCGTCTGGGTCCCTAGGCCGCAGCCCGGGCGCGCGGGAGCCAGGTGGGAGCTGCACCTGCGTCTGCCCTACCCCGAGAGTCGCAGAGCGTCGGTCTCTGCACCCTGTCGGTGACGGCCGGCACAAACCCGCCCGGGTTTAAGGGGAGGGGAAACAACTGCTGGGCCACTTCCGGAAAATACAACCTGTCACACAAAACATCTGCCACGTTGTCTGTGGTTGAGTTGGAGAAGTGACCTCGGGTGGGGCAGGCAGCAGGTGAGCACAGAGACTACACGGGAGGCTCAAAGCTCAGCGGGGCAGGCGTGCCGAGGGGATGAACCCCACGAACATCACAGGGTCGGATAAAAATTGCTGCCACTCGGCCGGGCGCGGTGGCTCATGCCTGTAATCCTAGCTCTCTTGGGAGGCCGAGGC